TATCAGATAATTCCTCCCTTTCAAGGCTGTAATTAATGTAATGCTATAGAAATGTATTTTTGCAATACGCCGCCCCGTCAATTCACGTCATGGACGTGGGTCAGGAGGCCCGAGCTGCGGCGACGCCGCGTTGCGGAATCGTCAGTTTCGAAACAGTAAGACGATTTCTTGGCCATCGTAATATTTATCACTCGTAAGCTAGGATTCACAATTAGGCTAATGCGGTTTTAGCAAACAAGAAAAGAAGAGGCCGTTCGAGTGTTTAGCGCTGATGACATGAGGGGGAGTCAATTCAACAACACTTTCTTCATTGGTGCACTCTTCCGCTTTGCCATCCTATACAGAGAAGCAACCTATGAGGGGATGCACTTTCCCAGAGACTCCGCCCACACCATCAGCGCGGAAAGTGTTTTTGAACTCCTTGGTGACACTCCGGTTGGCAAACACCCCCTTTCCCTAAACATTGCGGACGAGGCAACGGTCTTCAAAGGGAACCAACACTTTGTGGGATCCAGATCATCAGTTCTTGACGTCACAAATGGAGAAGCCAACGATGTCGAGACTGAATTGATCCCATGAAACTCTGCAACAACTTGTAGGTAATGAGCGCTGAAAAACTGAGATCGACTATGACTCACGCTCTATGAGCTTCTCCAGTTTCCCTCGTTTCTCGAGTTTCTTCAGAGAATACAGGATATCAATCCGCTTGCACTGTTGTAGAGCTTTAATAAGTTGCTTGGCAGGTTGGTGTTGACACCTGCTCAAATACAGCTTCCATAGGTCGAGCATCTTGGCGAAGTGACTAAATAAAGCCGAGCATAAATTGTGAATCAATTAGGCCGCGTTCATACTTCGCGAGGCGAACGGTTCAATCGCGCGAATGGGATATTCAGTTTGTGAACTAAACGACTGCGACCGATCGCGCCACACAGCTAATCGTAGGATCACTGCAACAGTCGAAAAGATTGCAATTATGAATGCTGCTTTATTGACAGCTGCAGCGGTGTAACGATTAGCGCTATAGCCCGTTCAGTCTCAATCGGGAGACTAAATCGGGAAGCATGAATGTAGCCTTGGAAGTAGCTAAAGGCAGAGCAGAGAGGGTGGGGCGGAGCATCTGCAAAGACGCGAGCCACTGAACAACGCACTCGGTCGTCGGCACAGCGCCCCTTGAGCCCGATTTCTTGAGACCTTCGAGCGATTTGACCATATAGGGGCGGAGTTCTTAGAAATTCGGCCAGGAGATTCGAGTTGCCGACGCTGCTTTCGCCACGCCGCGGCAATTCGTATCTCCTGGCCTCCATACTCCACTTGAAGCTGTCTCAGAATCTTGCTCCCTTCCCTGAACACATCATTCTGTTCGCTTTGCACATTAGCTCTTATGTACATATACAAATAAAAACATTAACTCACCATTATTTCATTGTCGGACATCCCGAGATAAATACCGACAGAGTCCCAGTTCTTGAGCGATCCGTAGGAAGGCATATTCAGATGAGAAGTGAGCAGTGCAATAGCTTCATTGCTGAGCCTACCGATACTGAAAATTGTTGTCCTTATACCTAAACAAAGGCTCCAAACAAGATACACGGGGGAAATCCTGATGACGGGGGGAGGTGGAGTACGGGAATTTGACTCTTGCATAATACTAGACATGTCTTCAAAGGAACTTTTGGGTCGCTCGCGATAAAGACATCGCTTCAGTTCTTTCCAGGGAGATAAAACCAGCGCATACCATGGTTGGGGATCGCGATGGGGAGGATGGAGGTTCATATTTCCGCTGCCGTGAAAGCGAGTTGCACCGAAGAAACTTCTCCTGACGCAAATAATCCTGGAAGGGAGAACCAACTCAGTTCCTTCCATCCAAAAAGGAAGCACACCACTATTAGGGAGTCGCGGTGGGAAAGATTAAAGGCCGTACTTTAGTCGCCAAGGAGGGGGACAAGCACTACAACAGCATACAGAATTTCGCCTGCGCCTAAGCATGATGGGAGTCTCAGGGTGGATGGACTATCCAAGCATGGTAATTACATTCAGAAGGCATTAATACCAGTTCTGCGCTTAGGGCCTCTTCAATGCCCACCCCGAAATTATTAGCGCTCTTTTCTTTAGTGTGATAATGCGTACTTATTGTTATCAAAAACCGACTATAGTCTCGCTGCGGATGCCGGGGCTGCCAGGAGTGAGTTTGGTGCAACGCCAGCTTGTTTTTCACCAACTGACACACGACAACATTCTGGAATCGGGCTGGTCTTGCCGGCCCCAAAAAAATCCGGCCTTTCCTGAACCCACCCCCGCAGCAAACAAGGCTGTAACTAAAAGGGTGAACAGGGTCTGCTTTAGGTGTACCAATTCGGATGTGGTTCTGCACATCCCAGCGGCAGTGTAGGAGGCGTAGGAGGATCCAGATATTGCTATATGGATCGTTCAGTATGAATGTCCGTTTGAGAGTTCAACTCAGTTTTATCATATCTCCATACAACGCAAATTACAATCAGATCAAATCCATATGATCCCTAAGATTATTCAAACAGATCTTTGCCATTTTAAAGGTAACTTATTAATTCCATCTCTATAGAAATCTGGGGAGCGAGAGGCAATAAAATCATGAAAGGCACTTTCTACATCATCATAAGAATTGAATAATTTTCCCTGCAAGAAGTGATCTAAAGCTTGAAAGAAATGGTAATCTGTAGGTGCTAGGTCGGGAGAGTAAGGAGGATGAACGAGAGTTTCCAAGTCCAAATCCTGTAATTTTAACAAGGTCGAGTTTGCCACATGTGGCCGAGCGTTGTCCTGCAGTAGGAGCGGTCGGTCTCTGTTAATCATTCTCGGCTGCATAACAGCAAGCTTCTCCATCATTTCCTCCAGCTGTTGACAGTACGCCTCCGCCGTGATCGCCTGACCAGGTCTCGTAAAGCTGTAGTGAATCACTCCTGCGGAGGACCACCAAACTGATACCATAGTCTTCCTCTGGTGAGGGTCCGGCTTCGGCGTAGGTTTTGGCGGTTCCGACTTGTCCAACCACTGGTAAGACCGCTTCCTGTTATCGAAATGGATCCACTTCTCGTCACATGTGACGAGACGGTGTAAGAAAGGCTCGCTTTTTTGCCTAGAAAGTAAGGAAAGGCAAGCCTCAAGGCGGACCCTCTTCTGACGATCGCTCAAGTCGTGCGGTACCCAACGGTCCAGCTTCCTACTCTTGCCAATTTGCTTCAAATGAGACGAGATCGTCACCTTACATACTCCAAACTTTGCCGCTAATTCTCGAGTACTTGAGTGGGATCAGCTTCCACTACGGCTTTAAGCTCATCGTTGTTCAGCTTGCACTCGGGCCGTCCTCTCGACTCATTTTGAAGATCGAAGTCGCCGGATTCAAACTTTGCAAACCATCGACGTACTGTTCGTTCGTTAGGGGCATCCTCTCCAAAGACGACGGTGATATTCCGAACTGCCTGTGCTGCGGTGCTTCCACGGCGGAACTCGTACTCCAAGACAACACGCAATTTGGACTTGTCCATGTCGTTACAAAAACCTTTCTAAAAAAGTCAGATTCCACGGCAGCCGGAGGTCCACCGAAGGTAAGAAAGAGGGAGGCTGCACCTTTACCAAAACTCAGTACCAAGGACTGCCGGAGCGTTTTGCCTTAGATACGGACTCTCGAACTATGCACTTCTGAAAAACGGACATTTCATACTGAACGACCTGATATGTAAGGGATCTACAGTAGGAACCATCTGATTTATAGTAATTGTGCTTAAGCTTATCAAGGTAACCATGCGGGGAAATGTGTACTCACAATCAGCCAGGCGTGAACAGAACATTGCGAATTGCACCCGGTCCGACGGACACCCGTCACGGGCAAGGCCAATATAGCGACTTTTGTCCTCGTGAAACATTCGTTATTTATCCTTCACATATCGATTTTACACTTTATATCCTGAGAAATGGGGAGGGCGTGGGTGCGTACATCATTTGACGTGGTGCACGACACCTTGTTTGATATTTTAATTTGAAACAATTATCACCCTGTCCTATGCTTTCAAAGGCATGATAACATTTGTCACAAAACGGCAGTATCCCACAAAGAGTGCAGCCACTGTCTTCCTCAAGTGAAGTACACGACCACGCCTCCCCCACCTCCGGGATATGGAGGGATGTACCTCAGTGAGTTCACACTACGAATATGAACGTCTTCCAGTCGAAGTGGTGGTCGGATCCATGGTCCCTGTTTTCTTGAACTCACTTCTTTGGCGTTTATACCCTGAAAACCCCAGAGTTTGGGCCATGTTTACTAGCACGCTTTAGGCCTAAGCAAACCTGAGCAACTTCGTCATCGATTTCGATAGTAACGTCGACAGTATCCGTGTCCGTGTAGTTATTATCCATCCAGAACTACTTCTTAGCCTAACATACGATGCGTTAGATAAGTGGACTTTACCCTTTATCTCCCCAGAACTTGCCCCCTTGTTAGCTGCAACA